CAACCCAGGTGTGTCAAGTTGACACTAAAGCTATCCAGCACACATGGTGACCCTATTCTTTTTCCAGGACCAAGAAAATCTGTGCCCAGCACTCCCACGGAGTCAGGTCCCTAAGATTCAAAGAGAAACTTTCTGGAGTTCAAGAGAAAGATTCTCTGCTTTTAAGGAAGAGCTACAGGGAGACCTGATTACCTCCAGTCACCATCCTCTGACCACAAGAGGAAGGAATCTAGGATTCGGGAAGGCAGAGCAGAGAATGGGAAGTGCTTGGATTCCTGGAGGAATTGTTGAGTCTCCGAATCATTGAGAGCCTACTCCACCCCTGGATGTCCAAACTAGAGAAGCTACAAACTGTTCTTCTTTAAACCAATTTAAGTTGGATTTTTCTGTTACTTCCATTCAAAATTATCTCAAATATTATAAATAAATACCTAGCACCTACTAATTACTGTGTGCTTATAAATCATACAGTGTACATGGAAAGTACTGCCTTTATTTTATTTTTTAAAAATATTTTATTTTTATTATTTTATTTAAGTGTGCAATGCCTCTGGAGGTCAGAAGAGGCTGTCGGATCCTCTGGAACTGGAGTTAGGGACAGCTGTTAGCTACCATGTGGGTCTGGGAATCGAACCCAGGTTCTCTGCAAGAGCAGTCAGTACTCTTAATTGCTGAGCCATTCTCCAACCCCAAATATTTCCTTTATAAATCCAATATTGGACCTGAAGAGATGGTTGAATGGGTAAAGAGTTTGATAACTTGAGTTTGATCCCTGGAATTCAGGTAAAGGTAGAAGGAAAGAAAGGAATCCATGAAGCACACTGTGGTACACATGCCTCCTCCCTCCCCCATTACACATAAATACATATATACATACAAATAGACAGAGAAAAACAGAAAGAAAGAAAGAAAGAAAGAAAGAAAGAAAGAAAGAAAGAAAGAAAGAAAGAAAGAAAGGAGGGAGGGAGGGAAAGAAAGGAAAAAAAGAAAGAAAGAAAGAAAGAAGGAAAGAAAGAAAGAAAGAAAGAAAGAAAGAAAGAAAGAAAGAAAGAAAGAAGGGAGGGAGGGAGGGAGGGAGGAAGGAAGGAAGAGAAAGAGTTTAAGTCTAGTGTCCATGTGATCCACTCCTAGTCCCTGAGCTAATGAAGGAAAAACACATACTTCCTATTAACCCCTGAGCTTATATACATCCTCTTTGTAGCCAAACCAGAAGCTTCTAAGGGGTAAAGGGGAGAACGTGAACAGTTCTGTGAACAGTACTGTTTCTAAACAGTCTATTTCTTTAAAGTCTACTGCACTATTCCATTGAAGCTCAGAATACATACCAAACAAAAATATACCGTTAGCTCGAGCAATAATATTTGTGACTATATTCATCAGCAGCCACATGTCTGCCACTGTTCTACAAGTGGACAAAGTTCTTCAACTTCCAGGTCAAGAGATTCCATTCACACCCATAAAAGCCTTTCAATATCTTGGTACAAGGTAAGGAGTTGGTGGCAGGACAGAAGTCAAAAATGCAATTCTCTGCTTTGATGCCAGGAAAACAAAGCCCTAGAACCGTAAGTAGTTATTTTGGTACTTGGAATATAACAGGGGTCCCTGGAAGCCTGAATGTTGTATATTAAAGTCTCACAGTGACTGCAGAAAAATGCAGCCAAGTACTGGTAATTACCAAGGTTGATTATAAGATTTTGTCAACAATGGATGAGCCAAATCATGGCCTAATTACAATGTCCCTGTAAACAGTGGAATGCACATGTGCTTGCTAAGGAAGACAGCAGAGGGGCTTTTTATGTGCTCGAATAAACAGACAAATGATATCCAGGTTACTTCCATGGGTTAGATTTGTTTCCACAGTGCTTTCGCTCCTTGACAAAGTTGGTGTTATAATAGCATAAAAACACCCTCAGTGGGATTATACCAGGAGCTCATGTCGGTTGTAGAAGGAATGTTTTTTGCCATCACATTTGCAGTGTCGAGTGAATGACCAAACTCTATCATGCCACATGGCCAAAGTGTGCAAAACCTCAACAAAACTCTTAAAGCTCATTTCCTGTCTCTGCCTTGGGGCTCTATGAGGTCAAGTAGGATGTGCAAAGTGAAAATAAAAATATGACTACATCCCTACTCACCCCATCTTTCTTCACTGTCTTCGGAATACTTGGTATGACATAAAAAAGATGGATTTCTCCTTTCTCCAACCACAAAATGCTACAATACCCATAATATGGGCGAGGACTTGAACATATGACTAGCTATCCTGGAACTAGTGACGGGTAACACCAACCAGCTTCGCATTTTAAAACTCAGACCTGCTAGCCACATGCCTGGCTTAGCTGTTTGTATTGTAAAGGAGATCATCAACAGTCAGCATAATATGTCCTGACACATTCTCTTAATTATTAAACATGTTTGTGCACACTACACTTCAGTGCCCTGGAACAAACTCAAGCTGCTTGGCTAAGTTATGGTTCTGCATGGTTGCCTACACGTGACATCCGGAGGTGGGACCTGCATAGAGGCAGCATTCTGTGCCACAGGGCTTTAAGCCTGCATTTCTTATGTGGCTGCTTGTTTGTTTGATGTTTGTTGTTTCTATTTGTTTTTGAAACAGGGTCTCACTGTGTAGCCCTGGTTGGCCTGGAACTCACTATATAGACTAGGCTGGCCTTGAACTCACAGAGATCCACCTGCTCCTGCCTCCCAAGAGCTGGGATTAAAGGCGTGTGCCACCATGTACTTCTTATGTTGAACTATTACAGCTGGTTTTCGAACTCACAGAGATCCACCTGCTCCTGCCTCCCAAGAGCTGGGATTAAAGGCATGTACGTCTTATGTTGAACTATTACAGCTGGTTTTGGTGCTGGTCACCCCCAGTTGTTTTAGGAGATTGTGCGGCCTGGAACCTGCCCAGAGTTGAGCTAAAGCACCTTAATCAAAACAAAACTAATCAGGAGAAAATTTTTTTAAAAATTTTAAAAGAGGAAGGACAGTCAACTAGTCAACTGAACAGTTTTGTTCCAACCCATCTGCCAAAGCAGAACCAGTCAAGGCAGGACCCTGCTGCCTAGCACCGACCTCCAAACACATGGACATTGTCCTTCAGCACCGTTGTCATCTGGAGCTCCTGAATCTTCGAGCAGCGACCTTTGGGCAATAGAACGATGATGTCCATGTTCTTGGCCCCTTGAACACTCTCAATGGCAGCACTCCCTGTGTCCCCAGCAGTTCCTAGAAAGGAGACTTTTCCTTTTAGAACAAGGGGAGTAGATAGGGAAAGAAATGGACCTTAAAACATTGTTGCCCGATGCAGCCACATCAACTTTCAAGACTTGGAATACAGGAAATTAGTACTTAGCCTAAGGTCCATGACTATGTGGATAAAATTCAGGACATCAATGAGTAATCTACCCACTTAAAAATATTATTCTGAGAAGGATGCACAGCCTCGATCTGATTGACAAAGGGGACTGCGATGGTTAATTTAGTCAGCTTGATGGGATTTAGAAGCACCATGGAAACACATCTCTAGGCATGTCTATAAGAGTGTTTCCAGAAAGGTTTAACAGAAGAGGGAAGACCTAACATTATTGTGGGTGGCACCATCATGGGCTGTAGTCCTGAACCAAATGAAAGGAGAAAGCAAGCTGAGCACCGGCGTTCATCTCTCTCTGCTTCCTGCCTATGGGATGCAATGTGACCAGCTACCCCACATTCCTGCTGCTATGCCTTTCCTGCTATGATGAACCTTCAAACTGTAAGCCAGAATAAACCCTTCCTTCATTAGGTTGCTTTTTCAGGTATTTTGTCACAGAGATGGGTAAAGTAATTAATACAGGATTGGTGGCATAAGAGGCTAGGATCTTCACTCTGGAAGAAATCATAACATAAGTCTCGAGCGATTCAGTCAAAAACATCCTGTAACATGTGGACATCCTCAGGTTGGGGCACTAGGGGGGCTCTGCTCTCATGCCCATACCACCTACCTACAACAATGGTGACATGTCTTTTCCTCTTTTGCAGGAAGTACTGTAGGAACTGTGCTGTACATGACAGGGACAGGTCCTTGAAGGCATATGTGACCCCATGCCACAGCTCCAACACGTTCAGCCCATTCTTCAGTCTGCAAAGATGAACCACTTCTTTGTGGTGGAATCTGCTGAAGGCTTGGTCAATTAGACCTATGAAAACAGGATTTGGATGACAGGTGAAGGGCATTATCTTCTCAAGTCCTTATCCGGTCTCTTTAAAGTCTTCATCTCCCCCTACCAACTAAAAAGCCCAGAAAATTTTATCTTAAATGATATATTTAGGAACAGAATTGCATATACCTTAAAAGAGGCATGCACTGAAAAGTTTCCATTTTTCATTTTATATATATCTTCATTGTTTGAGTTTTTTTAAAAAAATAAGCATGCATTCCAATATAGAATCAATTACATAGTCATAGAACTAACAAATCAATGTCTCTGTCTCTTAATTTTCCTTCCTAAAAATGGAATGATTTTGTTTGTTTTTTATAATACGAAATCTTACATCTGTGACACCAGGACCTGGGCATGGTTGATATATAAACCTATCAACAGCAGAGGAGCCTACAACTGAACTTCTCAAACTTTGATTGGTGAGCCAAGCACCTGGGATCTTGTTAAATGCCAAGGCTGGGTCATTAGGTGTGAGTATGACTGAGAAGTCTGACAAGCGCCCAGGCAATGTTACCACTGTTGGCTACTGGACCACATTCTGAACGGTCCTCTCCCCTCCCCAACCCAAAACACCTACCATCACCTGTGATGGATAGCTTTAGTGTCAACTTGACACACCTGGGTTGAGGGAGCCTCAGTTGGGGAATTGCCTCTATTGGACTGGCCTGTGGCCATGTCTGAAGGGCATCTTCTTGATGAGTGATGTGGGAGGGCCCAGCCCACTGTGGGTGGTGCCACCCCTGGGCATGTGGGCCTGTGTTGCATAAGAAAGCAGGCTGAGCAGGGGCCAAGGGAGCAAGCCTGTAAGCAGTGTTCCTCCATGGCCTGTGCTCCAGCTCCTGCCTCCAGGTTCCTGCCCTGAGTTCCTACCTTGGGCTCCCTGATGAACTGCGTGCGACCTGGGAGATGTAAGACAAATAAACCCTTTCCTCCCCAAGTTGGTACTGGTCAGAGTGTTTTGTCACAGCAATGAAGAATCAAACCATGACATCATCTTACGGATTTTCTTCCTGCTACTCAAAGTGTGATCTATGACAATAGCAGTGGTTCTATGGTTCTATCTGGGCCCTTGATTTTTTTTTTTTTTTTAACCTGAGATCCCTGGGGGAAATTTGTAGCACATTATGTCTTGAGACAAGATGTTCCAGGACTTTCAAAGTTCCTTCTGGGATTATCACTCAGCAAGACAAAATAGCAATTTGGGTGTCCTGGCGCTTACACAGGGGGAGACACTCCTCAGTGTGCAAGCATTCAGGGTGACTGAAAAATCCTTAGTATGGAAGAGGGTTTTATTTATTTAAAGAAATAAAGAAAATTTCAGCAGATTACTTTGTTCATCTCACTGGGGGTGAGAGCTGGAATAGAGGAACTCTCTCAGATACTTCTAATTTGAAATTCTAGAATCAAGAAAAAGCTCAAGGGGCTGGAGAGATGGCTCAGAGTTTAACTGGGGGCTCTTGTAGGACCCGGGTTCAGTTCCCAGCACCCACATGGCAACTAACACCTGTAACTCCAGTTCCAGGGGATCCAATGCCCTCTTCTGACCTCCGAGGGCATTGCAGGACACAGGAGCATTTACAATACACTGATACACATAAAAATAAAAATAAATAATGCTGGGCGTGGTAGCTCACACCTTTAATCCCAGCCCCAGGAGGCAGAGGCAGGTGGATCTCTGTGAGGTCGAGTACAGCTTGGTCCACATAGTGATTTCAAGGCAGGATGGGACTAGGGAGACCCTGCAAAAAACCAAACCAAACCAAACCAAAATAAATTAAAAAAAAACTTTTTTTAAAAAAGATAAGCTCAAAAAAGCTGCAGAAATGCAACTAGAGGTTTTCTAGTGGTTGGGTTTACAACTTGGGGAGGGGTTGTGGTGCTGAACTGGGGGCGGGGAACTCCTTACCACTTAAGTCATCTCTTGGAATGAGCTCTGGGCCAATGAAGAGGGCACACAGTTCCTTGACCAGGCTGGGATAGGAAAGTGTGCTCCAGTGACACAGGGTCTCTCTGTCCAGCTGTGGGAGCTCCTCTGGTATGTAGAGACCTCCATCCGGTGCATAGCCAGAGAAGAGGGCCCCCTCAAAGTTGACCCGTGGGGCCATGCCCCTGGTGCTGATGTACCACATGATGTTGGAGGCCTGCAGAGGGAACAGTCTCAGAGGTAGCTGGTTTTCAAGCTCCCAGCACCCTACCAAGTGAAACTGAGTACAAACAGTCCTTTCACCTGGCCTCAGCCATTACTCTCTGGGGTGTGTGTCTCAGACATGGAGATGGCAGCCCTAACTTGAGTCTCATATCAGTTTTGCCATATAAAAATTATGATCCTTCCTATCAAAATTCCACTGATCCCAAAACCTTAAAGAGTAGGTACTGGAGCATTCTGAGAATAGAGAAAGCACAGCCCTCAACAGTGACAAAGCTTGGTGTGAATGAAGATAACAGCCACAGCAGGCACGGGCGGGTGACAGTCCTCTGGGTAAGGGGAAGGTCAGCTCATGTGCTCGGCCCTTTGAGAGCCAAACAGGTCCACTTCTGCTTAAGAAACAGCCATCTTTAGTGGTTATTTAGAGACAGTGCATATAACTTAGTGGATCTAAACTTTAGTCCTTTTTTGGAATCAATCTGGAAGCTTAAATCAATGAAATTGGAATAAACAGAATGAGATTAGCATATGGAAGAAATCAGCTGGCAAAAGGGATGACTGTAGATTTCTAAACCCAGGCCACAAGTAAAAGATGCAGCAAGAAAGGAAAGAGCCTAGGGTACGCACATGAGCAAGGGGAACACACTACGCAGATCCCCCTCTAAGGTCACCCTCCAGCACAGCGCTCTTGACCTTTAACCTGGCCTGGCCCACTGCTTCCTTCTTGAACTTACACTATTTCTTTTTAAAAAATATTTTTTAAAAAATCTATTCTTTGACAATTTCATACATTTATATGATGTATTTCAGTTTCTCACCCATTACTCGCTCTTATCTTCCTCTCCTGCTGAACCCTTTCTTCCTCCCAACAAGTCCCTTTCCTACATTCATGTTTTCTGTTTTGTTTTTCTGGCCCACTGAATTTAATCAGGATTGCTTCCATGGACATGGATGATTTACAGGAGCAAGGAAAACTTAGCCAAGGAGCAGCCACTAGAGATGACTCCCCCTCCCTCAGAAAACATTAACCGTCAATAGTTCCTCAGGGAGGGGGAGCGCTTCATGACACCTCTCTCATTTGGAAGTATACTAATTTTTTTTTTATGAAGATTCATTTTATTTTTTAATTATGTGTGTTTGTGTGTCTGTGTGTCTATGTGTCTATGTGGAGGATATGGGCATGTGAGTGCTGGTGCTTCACAGAACCACCAGCATATGGAGGCCAGAAGCATTAGATCCCCCTGACATGGAGCCACAGGTGGCTATGAGCCACCCAATGTGGGTATTGGGAACTAAACTTGGGTCCTCTGCAAGAAAGAGTACACATGCTCCTAACTGCTGAGTCTTCTCTCCAGCCTCTCCTTTTAAATTTTTTAAAAAATTCCTTTGATTTCTATGTGCCTGGTTGTCTGTATGTATACCATGTGCATGAAGGAGCCTGTGGAGGCCAGAAAAGGCATCAGAATTCCTGAAACTGGAGTTACAGGCAGTGAACTGTCTGATGTGGGTTCTGGGAACCAAACCTGGGTTCTGTGTAAGAGCAGCAAGCACTCTTAACTAGTGAGCAATCTTCTTCAGTCCCAGTATACTATTTCTTGATAAACGGTCTCTACTATTACCCACGTGCCCAATTCCTAGTTACAGGACACAAGAACCTGGAAACCCCAGTGGGTGCCCAGTGGATCCTGAAATCCACCAATAACACCAGCAGTGAAGGCAGGGTTGAGAATAGGGGACCAAGTCATTTCAGTTTATCTGAGACTTCCCTGGTTTTAAAATTGCAAGACCCATGTCCTAGGAAACCCTTCAATCCTAGGCAAATGAGGTTGGTTGGGCATTGTTGATAAGCAGTGCACTATCTCTCAGCCTAATTGTTAGAAAGCTAGTAGCACAGCTTACATGCTGCCTGTAAAGCTCTCTAGCCATGGCTAATTAACTCTGGCTACTTGGCACGAAGCTGGGGCTCTCTGGTTCTTTGGCTGGGAGAGAGATCACAGCAGAATTCAGGGTTTCCAGTGTTAAGGCCCGATAGTAACTTTGCGGATGAGTTTGTCTAGATACAGCCTGATCTGACACTGACTTAGAAGAATTCTGGTTCCTTTTGAGTTTCCTCTCTCCTCTCCCTGTTGGATTCCAGGGCCTTATGCATGCTAGGCAGCTGCTCTTCCACCAATGTACATCTCCAGCCCTGAAATTGTGGCTTCCTATTCCATCTCTGTGATATTATTATTATTATTATTATTATTACTGTTAGAGGCAGGGTCTCCCTGTAGCCCCAGCTGGCCTAGAACTTGCTATGTAGACCAGGCTGGCATCGAACTCACAGAGATCTGCCTGCCTCTGCCTCCCAAGTGCTGGGATCTGACACCTGTGGTTCCACTGTGAATCCTATATGAGCTGCTATGTCCTACTCTGTTGCCTACAAATGCACAGGCATCCAATTCAGAGACAGGGACCAGCTAATAATCTACCAGGCAAGTCTGACCTTTTGATATTACGACATGACATTGCCATCTACAAAGTTCAATCTCCAGAACTGTGCAATCAAGTTAAGGGGAAAAAAATCACATAATGTTTGAAGCAAGTTCACCATTGTGCGTAGGGCCACATTCATCGCCATCATACACCGGGCAGGCCTGAATCCAGGAATCTTTTGAAAGTGAAAACAGCATAGATACAGTTATGCTGGGACAGAGGGTATAAGCAGACCTGTTTGGCAATTTGGAACATACAGTCAACATACAGACAAGAATCCATGTCAAAATAAAATGAAACCAAGGTAACCCCAAAAGCCAAATGCAGTGGATAAGAAGTACAGGTACAGTCACACCCAGGCGAGAGAATTACAGACCACCACCAATAAGCTGATTAAAAGGGAAAGGAGTCCTTCATTGATTAGCACTCGACTGAGAGTACCTGGTGCTTCACAAAACTCTCAGTGCTGAAGCTCTGGGGCATGATTTTATAAAGGCAACCCCCCCCCAAATCACAATAACAGTTTGGACTAGATGGAGGTCAGATAGACCTTGCTACAGTAGTTATTTTGGTTATAGTCTAGCCATAGTCAGGGTCATGAAAAGCCCTGGCTGTTTTGCTGGAGGAGGCTGGCAGCTGGAAAGAATGCCAAAGCACAACCTAGAGTCAGGACTGGCCCAGGACAAAATGTTTTTTTTTTTCTGGTACTTCAGTACAGTGTCTCTGACAACAGAAACACGGTCAGGAAGGTAGAGGCTTAGCAGTACCTTCAGTAAAGATGGGAGATGCTGTATTATCTGTAATTCTGTGGACCGGGTTAGCACCTATGCCAACTGCCCTGAAATCCTTGCTGCATAACTTCATACCAGTCTGAAGCTAGCTGCAAGTGAGCTGCCAAAACAGAAACAAACCAACTGCTGCAGGTGCAGGCACAAAGCAGAAGCAGGTGGCGCTACAAGGGAGTATTTTCCCAAAGCCTTCCCCTGAGTGGAATGGATCACATGGTGCCTGGGCACTGGGATGGGTTCTGGTGTCTTCAGTCTTAGGACGTAGCTAAGGAACAAAGTCAAGATGCTGGCTGGAGTTCTGCATCTGTGGTGCAAGGAGCTGGCCTGATTAGCACAGGCCCATGCTCTTCACAGGCGCAACGACTTGATTCTGCCCAAGGACGTGAAGGGACCGCCTTCCCAGGCTAACAGGCCGAACTACAAGAAATTCACCAGATGGGGGTCATTTCTCAGCAAAGCAGAGAAACAAAATCAGCTGCCACAAGATGTGGTGGTTGAAGTTAAGGAAGAAAAAGCAGTTTTGTTACTTGAGGGCTCTGAACTCAGGCTCTTGGGTCTCCTCTGGATCTTATTCCAGGGCGGAGATGACAGAAAAGCTGCCGATCACCAGGATAAAGAGTCGGTTTGGGCTTCCGGGAAGGCATGGAGACTTGGCACCCAGCTGTCAGTCACATCACTGGAGTTCAAGGCAGGGACTCGGCCGGGGAGGGAGGCCTATACCTCCCAAGGCTCCGCTCCCAGCCCCTGAACGCCCCGTACCTTCCGGGTTTCGGAGTCCTCGGAGTCCTAGGAGTCCTCGGCAGCGCACTGCCCCATCCCTGCGGGAGGTGTGCGGGGCAGGGCGGGGCGGGGCGGGGCGGGGCGGGGCGGGGCGGGGCGGCCCTGGCCTGGAGGCGGTGGGGAGAGAGAGAGCTCCGCCTAGCGCGAGCCGTGGAAGTTGCTTTAAAAGCTTGCACAAGAAGGAACTTGGATGAGCGCGCCCAAGTTGGGAGGGGGCGTGGGAAGAGCCAGAAATAAAGGCGTAGAAGCCACCAGTTCTCACTGGGAGCCTTGCAAGCCCTTTATCCGCGTTCAGACTCCATCTTCACAGCTCTACCCAATGCAATAAAAGCCCAGGGTTTTGTTTTGTTTTGTCTTACATGTATGTAAGTGCAGGCACGAGTAATGGGGGCGGGGCGCAGAAGAGGGTGTCAGATCCCCTGGAGCTGGAGTTAAGGGCAGTCGTTAATTATCATATGAGTGCTGGGAACTGAACCCAGGCTGTCTGCAAGAACAGCCAGTGCTCTTGACCTCTGAGCCATCTCTCCAGCCCCGATTTTTTTAAAAAGTTTTTTGTTTTGCTTTTGCTTTTTGTATTTTTTGTGAGAAAACAAGAGGGCAAGATGGAAAGGTGAAAGACCCTCTGTCCTTGGGCCTTCATGGCTCTCCTCTGCCTTAAATCCAAGGGCTTGACAAGCTCTCCATTTCTCATTGGTGATAAAAATCCACTAGATGGTGCATCAGCTTAGCTCAAAAAATTCCTTATATGAAAACACCTTTTCTTAAGCACAGGGTAAAATCCTGACTCCCTATATCTCATCTTCCCTTATCTCCCCTCTCCTCTTCTTGCCTGGAACTCACTATGTAGCCAAGAATGATCTTGGAATCCTGATCTTCTGTCTCTATCTCTGTTCCCTGAATGCTGGGATTTACAAGCACGTGCCCCCACCCTTTTTGTTTTTTTTTGGTTTTTTGGTCCTTTTGAGAAAGGTCTCCTTGTAGCCTCAGTTGGCCTGGAACTCACTATGTACACCAGGCTGGCCTTGAACAGGCCACCTGCCTCTGCCTCCCAAGTAATAGGATTAAAGTCCTGTGCTACCAGGCCAGCACCCCCTACCCTTTAAAAACATTTTTTTTTTAATTTTATGTGTATGTGTGTATTGCCTGAATGTAGGCAAGTGCACCCGTGTCATGCAATGTCCCCGGTGGCCAATAGAGGCTGTTGGATCCCCTGGAACTGGCTTTATGGATAGTTGTTAGCTGCCACATGGGTGCTGGGATTCAAACCCAGGTCTTCTGCAAAAACAACCAGTATTCTTAAACATTGAGCCATCTTTCCAGTCCCCGCCCCCCCAGTGCAGTACTGAAGATAGAACCCAGAGCTTCGTGCATGCTGGACAAGTACTTTACCAACTGAGCTATATACCCAGTCCCCAGTTCCTTTTTCAGGAGGGAAAATAACCAAGAACTTGAGGAAAATGCCCTCCAGATACGCACAAGTGCCCCCTGAATTCATAGTCACACTCCTGGGTAAGCATCAGTTTAAAGGCAGACCAAACAGGTGCAGTCTAAAATTTACTCCTGGCTCTGGGGCCTGTTCACTGACCCAGCAAGGCCTCAGGGGACATTTGGGAGTCGGAAAGCCTAGTATTGCCTGTTTCTCTCCTTCTTCCTCCTGTTGGTGACGACTGCCTAAACCTGTGGTTTCTGTTTACTCAGGTTTACTCTGTTTACTATCCAAGACATTGACCCTCACATGTTATCTACAGGACATAAGTCCACATGGCTGCCACTGATTGACTAGACTGGGTAGGTCTCAGATTTGCCTGAGTAGGAGACACAGAGACACTGACTGCTCAATTAATGGGTCTGGGCTTCCCAACACATGATGGGACCGGGCTTCCCAACACATGATGGGACCAGAGACTTGCCAGGGAGTTCACACAGGGGTCAGAGGGACCAACCTATCATGGGGTTCATTTAATGCCATGATTCAGCAGTGTTTGTTACGGTGCTTGTAACTAATCCATAATCACCCAAGGACAGCAGCACCTTCCACGGGGCACTCCCACCAGGCTCTCTGCACCCTCCACGGACCCTCTCACCAGGTCTTCCACCTGGCTCCTGCAGGCCTGCAGGACGACTCCATCCAGGGCAGGAGGGAAGGAGGAAGCTCATTTGTGAAGTAGTTTGACTCCTCACCAAGGACAGCCACAAATGGCTGGGGGAATAACAGGGTAAATCATTAGGAGTTGTTGCTGCCTGGGACATTCAGGACAGTGGCTACAGAAGGCCCAGGAAGAAGACAATTCTGAGAATGCGCGACACAGTAGAGCTGCAGAGTTCACACCAGAATTCTGTATTGCATCAACATATGGGAGGCCTTTTGTTTTTCATTGTCTTACATACTTACAGAGGCAGATTTTCAAAATATACAGTAATTAGTTCTATCAAATAACCAGACCAAGGCATTCTGCTGGCATTCTTGGCCCAAACAGATTTATGTAAAATTGGATGTAGTGCTTCACTGGTGACCAAAGCTGAAGCTTCAGTATTGACTTCAGTTCTGAGGCCACACACATAATTCAAAAAATAGTTAATTGCATGAAGGTGATAAGCTGAAAAAAACCACAAGGTCTGGAATAATTCCATGGGTACTTTATTTGCATTCACAGTGTGAATGGTGGCTATTTCCCTTAACTCATAGCTTCATTGATGTGGCTTGAGGGAGGCTGGACATCTGGAACGCCCAGCAGGGAGCAGCTGCTGTGAGGGGCTGGAGCTTTGCTGAGGACGCACCTTCTCGGCCCTTTGTTGGGCTCTTGTTTCAGTTTATAACAAGCCAGACTGGCCTTGATTGTGTCTTCCACATGCAGTTTCATGTAGTGGTGGAGAACAGAGCTCTTTGGAGATGATCTGTGTTTTTGATGGTCAAGGATTCCTCCATGTCTTCTCTTCCACTCCTTCCATAAGCTAGAAGCAATTGCAGAACCACAGCCAAGTGTTTTAAACCCAGTGGCCTCAATCTTCCCTTGTTCATCCAGTTGGTCTGTAATTTCATTACATCAACACATGGGGGCACACACACCAAATCAAATTCCATTTTTTTTTTTTTTTGGTCTTTTTGAGACAGGGTCTCATTGTAGCCCCAGCTGTTCTGGAAATCACCATGTAGACCAGGCTGGCCTTGAACTCACAAAGATCCGCCTGCCTCTGCCTCCCAAGTGCTGGGATTAAAGGTGTGTGCCACCATGCCCATCCAATTCCAATATTTTTAGAAGTCTGCTCAAGAGACCTGGCATTTCTAGATTTCTCACAATGTTCCACAACCACCTCTTTTATTTCATTTTGTTTCTTTTATTATTTGTTATTGTTGTTTTTTAAAATTACTAATTAATTTTTTAAAAATTATTTATTTAATAACCACATACGTAGAAGAAGG